CATTGTCGTCTTCGATGAGGGAACAACTTGCCGAGGAGGCCGGGCTGTCCGCGTACGCGGCTTGACAGATAAGGTCGCGAATGCTTTTCACGAATCTTTAAAGACCAAGCATAAAAATGAAAGACGCAGCCACTTTGCGCCAATGAAACCAACTTTATGTTTTGGGCAGACGTCTTGCGAGAGTTGCAGTATTTTAATTATGCCTAATAAATTAAATGTTTAGGACTAAGTACCAAACTTTTTTAGATGTATTAAGAACCAAAATGTCAATTGGAAAGTTCTAGAGCTGCTTGAGAAACACCCGATTAGCTGTTTGCAACGTGATACGGCTCGCGTGGCTTCCTTCTGACTAGTAATAAAGCTTATGAAACATGACAACATACCCTGTGATAAAGCGCCCGCCCCATCATAATCTCAACTTCGAATGTCCCGAAATTTCTTTTCATAGGCCGGAAAAAAAAAAAAAAAAAAAAAAAAAGAGATGCATGCAAGACGCGTCCCCAACGCTTTATTTATATCGGAAAAGAACTGCCCTCTGTTTTATATACAACGTCTTTTTTTTTTTTTTTCAACTACTAGATATTAGAAAAAACGTGGAAATTAACGTTTTGTGGATGTGAGCTATACGGCCAGGCGAAGATTGGGTTCAAGAAAGAACGCAACAAAATCCGACTGATTACCTAACATTTGTTAATGAACTTTTTGATTATAAAAGAAAACGGGATAGTTGATTTACAAAGTTGTTGGGCGTAATCGAAAGCCACCAAATAGTCAAGTGAAAATTAGCGTTATTGCGGTTTGTGTAGGTGAGCTATACGAGTAGGCGAGGATTAGGTTCAATAACGAACGCAACTAAAACCAACCGATTGCCTAAAATTCGCTAATTAACCTTAGAAAAGAAAACGGCATCTTGTATTGAGAAAGTTGTTGGCCATAATCTCAAGCCACCAAACCGTCCATTCTTAAAAAGATGTAACGCGCGTACACTATTATACGGTGTCCTCCTAATTTGGGCGCGAAAATATACTTCTGATTTTATGTGGGCTCCATCTCCCCGTGGCGCAGCCTAACGCCATGAAGCCAAAGTGGCAAATCATGCGCATCGCTGTGAGAACGCCACTGTAGAAGGGGCGAGGAGTGCGGTGGCCGAAAAGATTGCGGTAACACGATTCGCGTCCTAATTAGGCTTTTTAGGACGCTGTGAGCCACTTCACGTCCACTACATCTCTTTAAAAATGAATGATTTGGTGTTTTTGATGACTACAAATAAGGTACAAACCGCTATTGCGTAACTCTGACGTCTTTTTTAGAAAAATGTCTAGTCGTTAAAAAAAATCGCCATGTATAAGCACGATTGTAAGGCAGTTCTTTGCGTCCGGCGACATCATTACGGCATGGAAATAGACGTTGACCACAGATCATACTTTGTGTATGCTCTGTATTCACAGTTTTTTTGTTGTTTTTTTTCGTACGAGAATGAGCAAACATTTGATACCAAATAAGATAGATTTAGCATTCACCAAATTCGGCTTTTTTACTTGATTCAAATCGACATTTGATTTAATTACACTTATTTTGTACCTGCACACGTCTACTTTATTCTCTAATGAGTTACAAGTGATAATTACATTGTTTTTTTGTTGTTGTTTTTTTGTCGTACGAGGTCATCACACTTTATTATTAACAATCTGAGCTATGCGATTACGTGGACGAGGCGCATTTGAAGATATTCAAAATTGTTCTGAATACACAAACAACTTCAAACGTCTTGCTGTTTGGGTCGTTTCCTACACGCAGGACCAATAATAAAGCCAACACCTTATAGAGGAGACTATCTCTATCAACTCAACGCACAAACACGATGTGAAGCGTGTGTGCGTACGTTGGAAAAGAGATACCGGCGAGCAAACCATAGCGTCGAATGTCCATGCAGAAAATGTCCGCGCCAAAGTATCCGCGCACCGAAAAATCTTTGCAGCAAAAAGTCCGTACACTGAAATGTCTGTGCACCAAAAAGTCCTACCGAAATGCCCTACAGCAAAACGCTCTACACCGAAAAGTAGTAGACCCACTACGGATGGGACCCTCCGTCACCTCTGCGGGTTTACGAACCATGATGATTCAGAACCACTGGTCTGTGGAGCGCCATCCCTGATATACAAAAAACGCTGCTCGTACTTCCCGTTGTCGAAAGATGCCAAATCAGATATTTATATTAAAATTGATACCCCAATGACTACTTCTTTGAGCAGAACAAGGCATTTGTGCTCTCACAACAGTAAAGAATCGTCTTCCAAACCAATGCTAAAAAAAAGCCAATGCAACTCGTTGGGAAGAGCAAGCGCCAAGCTCGCTCAAAACAGCTACTCGGTTGGTTCAGCTCCTTGTCGCAGGTGTGCCGGCTGGCTTCTGGATAATCTTTTCAAATCCTCGAAGCTTTCATTTCCTCCACCCCATACTTGTAAAAGAAAAAAAAAAGAAAAAAAAAAAAAAAGAAAAAAAAAAAAACAGGCAGCCGGCAGAAAAACAAAAAACAAAAAAAAAAAAACGTCGGAAAATGGCGAGGAGGAAACGAGAGGTGATTTCCTCCTTTCACAGTGGCGAGAAGGAAAGTGAGGGTCGGGTTCCTTCTCTCTGCTTGCGGGCCGGCCTTTAAAGGGGTACTCCACCGATTTTTTGAGCTACCTCAACTAACTATAGTTTCTGACTCCCCGGCCTTTACTCTCTCCGGTATGCTATTTAGAATCGCGAAATTCATAATAGTTATTGCAAAATCGGCAAATGAAAATGATGCAAAAACCAACATTCAAATATACGCGCGCTTTTCGGGGCCGTGACGTCAGTGGCAGGCAGGCTTGCCAGTCGAGCAAGCAGCCAAAAAATAGAATATGCCAATCATTCGTTCCGTGCTGGAGCGCGGGTACTGCAGCGAGCTTCCCAAGCATTCATTTGACACCATGAAACTGCTTCGAATCAGTTTAAAACAAAATCTACAGCCCAAAGAGTGAACCCCTGCCTTCCACTGACGTCACTTTTTCATTGTTGCCAGTAGAGACTTCGAGCTTGAAAAACACGGTGAGGAGCAAAACTGTAAATTCAATAACTTCGCGAAAAAACAATATTTTGACCTAATATTTGGGATACTATTTTCGCGATGCTTGTTGGTTAGCTTAGCAAAATTTCAAGCAAATCGGAGACAATGAAAAAATCGGTGGAGTAGCTTAAGCGTAGTTCTTCATTATGGTGAGAACCACAGTTTAAACTCTTTCTACACAATCAGAAAGGGGGAAAGCGCCGGTAGCCCTTTCCCCTTTTCTCTCTCGCCCTCTTTCAGTAAAACGGTCTAAATTACTCTCCTCCTCCCCCCCTCCGAAACAAAATCCTGGCTACGTGCCTGGCCCTTACTACTGGCACTTCTATGTTTTCGAAACCAAACGGACGTTCCAAACTTCGTAAATGATATGAAGTGAAACTGTCACCTGCGCATGACTTCGCTTTTATGCAATGTTCGCATCTTCCTTAATTTTTAATTTCTTCTTAAAGGGCAACTCCGCTTCTTTTCGAGTAGTGCAAAACTATACAGTTCTCTTTGTTATCATCTACAAAACCCCCATGGCAAATATTACGACGGAATTCCGCCTAGAAGTTCATTAAAATCGCTGTCAAAGTTTGACAAGCACGAATCCGCTGGTTTTGGATGAGACGTGCGGGCCAGACAACACTGCCCGGCTGCATTCCCGCTTCCTCCAAATTCCTTCTCCCGGCACGTCCGCGACGTCATCAAGCATGTACAGCTTCTTTTTTGTTTTTCCAATTTTGTTTTCTTTCCCGGGGAGAGCACGGGTGGCGCCAGCGCGGTGAAAGACGTGAGTGACGCGCTCGGCCGGCCCGGCGCTCGACTATTGATACTACTGAAGCTGCTTTTGTAAGAATTTTGAGTGACAGGTATAATCTATAATCTTCTATAATCTTCTGGGAGGAGAATAGCGACGCCTGTGCTAATCCAGGAGGCACAAAGGAGGATCCTGATAAGAGGAGAGCTCCTTCTTCCCCGTGTATATCACGTGGGTGTACATGCTTAGTGATGCCGAATATACAATGTTGTCCGGCTTTGCCACCGTTTCGGTTTCAGTTTGTGATCATGGATAGACTAAAATTACACGAAAAATATTTTATTTTTCGCGAAACAAAAGATTGGGGATTGTTTTTGAGTGCTTCAAAAAGCAAAATCGGCCGCTATCTCAAAATTTTTGAAATTAAGCGGAGTTGCCCTTTAATATTTTCCTTTTCTAGTTGAGATATAAGTACCATCAAGCTCCGTCCCAGGTTCTATTGAACATACCGGGCAAGAACATGCTGTTGTTGCAGTGTCATGCCAATATGTTGATCTGCGCCTGCTCAGTTTGGTGTGGCGATAGATCAAAATCACAATTTGCATTTTCATTTCAACCATTAAGAACTCAAGAAACAAAATGAAAGTTTTGCACATGGTTCATGCAAGCCATTTGTGCATGGCATTAGGGGATAGATATTTGAATACTCACAGCTCTCCGAGGTTTCTCATATATGTTGGGTCAAGCACGCACGGAACATTTGTGTATTTTAATAATTGCAGGAACGCTGTTCTGTGAAACTCTCGCAGCTCCTGTCAGGATGCTAGCCAGCCCCTCGGTTGGGGCACCTGACCAATACCTGACCCGCTGCCAAGTCACAAGAGTCATGGTGATGTAGACGGCCTGCTCTGCGTATGATCTCTTGTCAACGTGTCGATCGAAACCGAAACCATGCCACAGTCCTCCCTGGCTAACTAGTCCCATGGGTGCAAAATGCCGAGTGCTGCATGCTGGAATTTTATAAAAGTAGTGTATTCTTTTTAGACGTCTACATTCTACGTCGAATTTTTGAACGATGGCGTATTCGCCCTTAGCAACACCCCTAGCAACGGTTTGTTGTGAAACATCAGACTTACTGCTTTCAATCCAATCCAGTGTCGTAGCTGTCTTTCGCCGTGCCCGCGGCAATCGACGCTTCGCACCATGGTTCGCACTTCGCGGTCGCAGTTAATTTGTATTGTTCCTGCCTAGTCGTGCGACGTTCTACTCGCACAGTTCATAGGCCTTCTAGTTCCACGTCGTAGACACCAGCTTTACGACACACCCCGACTCCGAGACAAGACTGGCCGAAGGGCGACACTTTCACATCGCAAGGTAGGCCCACCCGCGCTCGGTTTGCTTTTGTTGCTGCACCGAAAAACTGGCTCCCCCAGCCATTGGGCCGAAGTTCTTTGTCGTGACATCCTGACAGCGTGTGCTGTATGCCGTAACTAGCCGCTGTATTTCGTTTCATCTTGCACAAGGGCGACTTCCACTATAGTGCTCCCTTACCACAGGTTTTAAACTCTGCGTCAGCTGTTTTGTGGTACAGCCTCCAGATTTTCCAACAATGTCGCGCGAACGTCGATTGTCCCGTGGATCAGCGCTTTATCGCGGCGTGAAACAGCAGGTCAGTGGGTCTACTCGCGTGTGGCAGAAGGCACACGCTAGCCTCGCTGACCCGCTGTTTCACGCCGCGAAAAGGCGCTGATCTACCGAACAATCGACGTTAGCGTGGCTTCCGCAGCACTCAAACCACGCACTTGCCGCGACAAGAATGTCTTGCGTTTCATTCGCACCCGGTTTCGTGCGAAGCATAGGCCAAACGAAGCCACGAGCAGCCGCGCTTCGGAGTGCCGGCCCCTTCCGTTCGTGCGATCTTGGTAGCGCTGTCGTCGAGACTTTGATCAATGGGAGGAGCGGGTGGAGCCAGGGCGTGTACGAGACGCAGATAGAAGGCTTGACACGCCAACTTGAAGCCGCGAATAATCGCCTAGGAGTGGTAGCGCGAAAAAGTTTAATCAGTGCCAAAGAGTTGAATAGAGTAACTCTTTATGGCTGAAAATATAGTCTACGTGATGCTTCGATTATGATCGTGAAAAAAGTTGTCAGAATCGAATGTCCCGCTCGAACTCCGTTTTGCTCGGACGTGGCTCAGACGCCTGGCGTACGGATCATGTCGATCATTCTCCTAGATATTGATTTTGTATGACCGTGATAGTACAATCACATGCATCATGTTTTCATTCGCCAAGGGTTAGTCCGACGCACTTATTAATTTTGTTTCTCGCGACCACTGCCAGGGTATTATTTGCGGCTTCTGGCTGGCCACATTCAAATCTGTGAAGACGCCCTGGGACACGCCCAGCCCGCTTTCGGCCAATGGCGCCTCTTTATTTGCTTCCTATACTTTCCAATGAATGGCCAAACTCTTTCTATGTATACACCTTTCCAAAAAACGCTCCTAGGCCACCGCCGATGCTGATGCGGCTGGTGCGACTCTCGCGCCCTCTATCAGCTAGAAATTTTCTGCCACCCTCTGGGACCGTGAAGACCCGCTCGGCGCGGTTCTCTACCTAAGTTTTTGTGGTTTTGCATTCAATGTTTTCTCGCCCCTCTTGAAAGTTTCCTCTTAATTTTTTTTATGCGTGCTGCATACCCTTTTTGTGTTATCTTCCACTGTGAGAAATAAGGCTGGTAAGTACCTGCCTTTCAAGCTTTTCTGCTCGACATTCACGGGAAAGGAAGGAGGTAAAGGACGTCGAACGACCCTGGACGCGATTTTGCAAACATTGTTCTTCCCCCTCCCAGAAATAATCCGCGTAGAATCCTCAGTCGTCTCCAAATATAGCTGTGCGGGTTGGGGTGAGAAACGGGTCAGTCGCGTTTGTTTCTTTGCTTTGGTGCGGTTGTGAGAAAAGGTAGCTCTTCCCAAAACGTGCCCCAAGACGAAGTCATCTCGGATTCCGTCCGATCGTCAAGATGTGACTGTCGTCGATCGTGACTGTGTTATTTGAGATCTTTCTGAAATAAATTCTTTCGGATAACGCTGCATCGTGTGGTACGTACGATATATTGTTCGAATGTTAACACTTCCTCAATTGTATGTCCGTGTCCTGTTCATCGGTAAACACATTATTCGTGAGCGTGAAAAATGCATGCCTTTCGGCCCTCTTCTGTTGCAATTTATTTTTGACAGCAAAGCGCTTTGTCGTTTCACATGCGGCGAATCCTGCGGCGCTGTCAAAGCTTATCGTAAGAAATAAACACAAACAACTAGAACTGTACATTCCAATTGCACTCGGTCTGTCGCGCGCATACTTAACAAAAATAGTTTAGTTTTTTTTTTTTTTTTTTTAAATGTGGCACAATGCTTTCTCAATGTCCTCGGGAAAGTACATGTAGCATGAAACACAAAATATAGCGGGAAAAGACGATAATTTATCCGCCAGCAGTGTTTGAAACTGCGCCTATTGAGGAGTTTCAGCGACGGTGTCACCGCCCTGGCGGCCGGTCGCCGAAAGAGAACGAGGGGGATAGGTTCGCTGGGCGTTGGCTTTGTGTAAATGCGTTGGCCGCGAACGTAGGCTCATAAACTTCGGCAGCAAGAATATTACGCGGCTCTAGTGTTCCGGTACGGGCAACAGAGATGACACGAACTGCTACGACGAGCTACGACCACCCGCCGCAGCGATGCAGGCGTCGAAGGAGCGCAACCTGTGTACTACGCAGTCAGTCGCCGTCGCCCGACGCAGGTCGTTTGGCATTCAGGACTTTCCGTCCCGGGTTCTTCGCTTACACTTGGAACCGAGTATTATTCCCTGTGCTTCTGTATGTGCTCAGTGGCTGGATGTGGACCTCATAGAGCAGAGTTCTTCAGACTCGACAGCGACTCAAAGTTGACGGCGGAGGGGCTTGCAGCAGCGCTTTCGGTTGGTGCACGGGTGCGACGACTACACGGATAAATTTTAAGATTGCTGCTAGCAAGGTGGGCCATAGTCGATTTATGTTGACACGATTTTGAGTGTAAGTACTCCGTGCAAAGGCGAATCTATCGCGTTTCTAATCCACCTTTGTTTTTGTTGTTGTTTTTGTGCTCGCACGACCGATTGAAAATGCTTCTGTACCAATCACCGAGTGAATGTCTTCGGCCTACATTGCGGAACGCCCAATAAAAAGTCATATTCGTTCAGCGAGCAAACTTCCCTTTCGAGTGACCTTCTTTGATTGATGATTTCGCCCGTACTTGAGTGCTTTAATCAAAACGATCGATGAAGTTTGCTTCCCTAGTTAGGACATTTTTTGTGCCACATGCGGCACTAATGCTTGGCACGATGTATTCTACTGGTGGTATTGTGAATTGGTTTACTTCCAAAGCTAACAGTATGACAGGTGGGACCATTCAATTTGCTAAAAATGTGATATGGGAATGTTGTTGCATAACTAGCGTTTTACGTTTAAGATTGATAAGAAACATGCTCATGTGATGACGCACGTCTACAGCATGAGCTTTGCAGATCCAGAATGGATGTGCTACAGGCTCAAGACTTTTAATGGACCAAATTGGTGATTACATGGCAATAAATATTGTGGAAAACTGCCCATTGACTCGGTGAGTTTTGATCGTGACCATTGGCGTGCTGTTGGCAAATTAAAGGGACGTTGCAACTAGATGTGCTTAAATATCTTTATTTCAAGGTTCAGTGGACCCCTCTGCATCATTACAGGAAGGCACTCTCAAGCCACAACAAACAGCAGTGAATATACAATGCATAATAACGGGCACCAGTGTCCAGGCGTATAGTCCGCAGAAGCCAATTTGAGCCTAAAAATGTTTTTGTTTTGTTTAGATAGTTTGCATTTGGTGTATAATTCGCAGGGCCCGATTTCCGCGCCCAGTGCATAGTCCGCCAAGCTGGTGCGTTGCGTCTTTGTGCTTTTTTTCCTGGGTGGCATTTTCTTCAGAAGTTCTTCGGCAAACGCTATTGAGCCTGAAGAACTGCTCTTGAGGCCCATATCTAGCCACTCGGCACACACACAAGCACAGAAAATAACACTCGGTGCCAAGTACAAACGAAGCACCTGGGCGGAAAGCCGTGAATGCCAAACGAGCAGCGTCCGGTGACGGCGACTGACTGCGTTGCGCCCCTTCGGTGCCTGCATCGCTGCGGTGGGTGGTCGTAGCTAGTCGTAGCGAGATGATCTTCACTTCAAGCAAGAAATCTTGCCATACCATAGTCAAGATATGTGTGCAAGTGTTCGACGACGTGGGCTCTCTCACGTTGGTGCAGTTGTCATCAAGAAAGGTACATAACAATGTTGAGTGTTTGAGGCTGAAACTATGACGCATACTTATCTAAACCTAAATTTATCGGTCTGTGGCTACAAACATTTTCGTTGACGTTGCTTAGATCATGTAACCATTCAGGCCTCAAATTAAATGGTGTTTCGAACTCTTCGGTTGTGTATGAAAACCTATTTGCTCTAATAAAAGACATTTTGAAAAGGACACATGTCTTCTGCTGATACATATCTTCCAATTTACAATGCAGAAGCAAACAGAAAATCAACTGCATACATCTACCACTTGGCATAAGCACCTTTTGCAATTCCTTCTTGAGCACACTCAAATATCAGCTAAGGTTGCTCTTGTTTTAGAAGCTTTGCCCTGTTCTGTAAAAAGAAAACAGTTAAAAAAGCTTTACCTTCGTTCTCCTCCTCGCATTTAATACAGACTTGTTTGTCAGCAGATCACACACAGCAGATATCACCGTGGCACATACAACTCGAATGACCGATGAGACTATTGCTATTACAATAAAGTTTTCCACAAGAGCCGAAATGAGGCTTGTAGGGGTGCACAAGCACATGGAAATGAGATTGGCGCTTCCGGGGCTTGTTTACATTATGCGTAAAAACAGGACGATCGGCGACCAGCTGATCGCAATATAACACCAAGGATACCGATGTTTCGATACATAGAACGCAGGATAAAGACCTCAATCGTCCCTTGTATGCTGTAGTTGTCATACTTTCCATCCAACCGCTTTTTAGCACAATTAACTAGAACAACCGAAAAGTTCGCAACACCTTCTAATGCGAGGCCTGAATGGTTACATCATCTAAGCCACGTCAACAAAAATGTTCGTAGCCGCAGACCGATAAGTTTAGTTTGAGATAAAGTACGCGTCATAGTTTGAACGCGCGAACATTGTTGACCTGTACCTTTCTTTGGACCCGCGTACATTCGGTTCAACTTGATGACAGCTGCACCAGCGTGAGAGCTCACGTCGAACACTTGCACATATATCTTGACTATGGCAAGATTTCTTGCC